CAGCCGCCGGGATCCGTGCTGTACATCTCGTTCGGCACCAACAGCATGATACGACCCGAGCACATGCTGGAGCTCGCCGCGGCGCTGGAGTCAAGCGGGCGGTGCTTCCTCTGGAAGATCAAGCCACCAGAGGGCGATGTGGCCGGCCTCAACGGCGGCGCGACGACGCCGTCGTCCTACAATAGATGGTTGGCGGAAGGGTTTGAAGAGAGGGTGACGGCGAGCAAGAGAGGCCTGCTGGTCAGGCGGTGAGCGCCGCAGGTGAGGATCCTGGCGCACCCCTCGACGGCCGCGTTCTTGAGCCACTGCGGGTGGAGCTCGGTGCTGGAGAGCATGGCGCACGGCGTGCCTGTCATCGGGTGGCTGCTGACGGCGGAGCAGTTCCACAATGTGATGGTGCTCGAGGGTCTCGGGGTGTGCGTGGAGGTGGCGAGGGGGAACACGGACGAGACGGTCGTGGAGAGGAGGCGGGTGGCGGAGGTGGTGAAGATGGTGATGGGCGAGACGGCAAAGGCGGACGACATGAGGCGCCGGGTGCAGGAGGTGCGGACGATGATGGTGGATGCCTGGAAGGAGGAGGGAGGGTCTTCCTTTGAGGCGTCTCAAGCGTTCTTGGAAGCAATGAAGCTGAAATGAAGTATGCCATTGTATTGCTGTAATCATGATGGACTTGTTTTATCTTTTTTTTCTTCCATGTTATTGTGTTATTATGTTTCACTCGATTTTCAATAATGCAATTCTTATCTACACATACATGTAAACATTCATAATAATGTGATTCTTATCTGGACGTACATGGAAACAATCATGTATGTAAACATTTATTTAACAAACTAGCACTAATTGTGCCAATTTCATTGAATATAGTAGTAGGAAAAAAAGTATTTACATGGGTGCGGAAAATAGATAAGGTTATATACAAATGGAAACTACATGAACATCCTCTTTGCATCTACCAGAGACAAGGTTCTTGCTTCCTAGTACTTTATTTTCACAAGGAGCACCATCAGTGGGAGCTCAGTGTATCACAAGGACTCTCTTTTTTTCCTGGATATTGCATAGAACTTTGGTTCCAACTCCTTTGGTTGTAGCACTATCCCCAATCTTAACTCGCATGGCAGCCATGAACAGGAGTTTATCTATTTCATCGCATAGGGTTTCCAAACCGATCCACGCTTTCCCGCTGATTTCCATTCTTGCCGAAGCCATATGAAACGTAGGGCTCTTGTGAATCTCTCCAGTTGCAGGAACCCTAAACCTCCATTTGAAGTTGGCGAGCAAGTTCTTGCTCAGTTCATCTTGCATTTCCTGCCGGTGATTCCTGCCCAGAGGAAGCATTTCCTCTGCTTATCTATCACCTACAGCCTATAGGGAATCTTTTTCCTCTTTTAATATGCTATGAGGTGAGAATTGATTTGACTATAAGTCCGTTCTTCCAGCCATCCCAGGTCCTTCCCTTCCCAACCCACCATCCCCCCTTCCCCGATTTGTCGAATAGTGGTTGTAGGTCTGCTTTTCTCAATTTACCCAGCATTAAAGGTAAGCCCGGGTATTTCATCGGAAAGGACATTCTGGCAATGTTTGTGCCCTCAAGGATGTTTTCCAAATCTAGATAGCCACATCTGATTGTTGCTACCTACGATTCTTGGCAGTTTTGTGGGCTTGTATGTCTTGTTTCTTGGGCTTAATAAAGACGGTTGTGTTGTCCGCATAGATAGAAATTCGTAGGCGCACCGATCTCCCCCTCATCTTACTTATCATCTTGGGTAGTAACTTTTGAAACAGGTTGATTGCCATAATGAAGAGGAGGGGAGAGTGGGGGTCTCCTTGTCTAAGGCCGCAACCATGTCGCACCTCTCTTCTGGGATTCCATTAAGGAGTATCTTGAAGCAGGAGGTTAATTATGAGGAAGCCTACTATCTAGTCTGTCCAACACTGCAAGAAGCCCATTTCCTGCAAAAGTGTCGTGAAGACGTAGTCCCAACAGACTAAGTCAAATGCTTTTGAAATATCTAGCTTGAAGAGCATAGGGCACTTGTTTTGATGATATCTCCAGGCCATATTCTGACATACATAAAGTTGTCTTGGATGCTTCGCCCTCTAATTAATGCACTCTGATTTACCGAGATAAGGAAATGCATGAGAGGTTGTAGAAGTAAGGCTTGAAGGTTAAAGAAAACCTTGGCGAAGGTGTGGATCAGATTTATTGGTCAAGCTATAGACCGTTATTTTGTCTACCCCATCTTTTTTAGGGGATGATGATGATGTCATCTAAGTTGAGGAGGTTGAAGTGTGCACATCAAATGTTGTAGAGCGAGTTGAAAGCCACTATTATGTCAAGTTTGATAATGCCCTAGCATACCTTGTAGAAGTTGCCAGTGAAGTTGTATGTCCCAGGCGCTTTGTCAATCGACAACTATTGAATTGCTTTATGAATCTCCTCCGTGAAAGGTTCAGCCAAGGTGCTTAGGTCTATTAGTGTAACTCCCAAGGCTTGCCAGTTAAGCTCCCACTCTCTCGGTGCATGACTTCCCATAATTACCGAGAACGGTCCATGATCAGATTTTAATTCCTTTTCCTCGTGCCACTGTCAATCCATTGTTTCCTACAAGACCTAGGATGCAGTTTTTTCTTCTAGGAGCATTTGCTTTTAGATGGAAACACTTAGTGTTCACATCCCCCTCGCGAATGGATGTTATTCGCGACACTTGTCTTTTCCTTGCTCTTTCAATATCTGCTTGCCGCAACAATTCATGCTTTAGGGCCACGCGCATGTACCCTAAACTTTGTTTTGGGGGAAATCTGTCATATTGTTTTATACACGATTTCAGAAAATTCAAAACATTAGATCCACCCACTTAATTCCATATATCCGGGGCATGGTATAGGTAATATAACTACTAGAAGATCTAGTTCTGGACCATGTTAGCTTATTGAGATTTAGATGCATGTGGGCCAGACTTAGGGCTAGCACTAATTTGCATGTCAAAATCACTCAGTATTGGCTGGTCGACCTAACATTGTTAAAGAAATACTGCTTAGTTTTAGCTGATTCGCAGTGAAGTGAACAATGAAACGCTGGTTAAGGCATGAACAATGGTATGGTCAGTGATATAAGTGTCTGGCAGAAGATGCCATGTAGAATTTTATAGGGTTAATTTGACCCGTTAGATTTATCTTCTTCCTCCATCCTCCCCTATTCTCTTTTTTTCCCATCTGTCCACTTCTTCTTAGCCTCCTCCACACCCATGGCCCGCGGGGGAGGAAGGCCGGCCAACTGCATGGAAATTGGCCTGTCGTCGCAGCGGGAGCAGCTCGTGTTGACCAACAACTTTGTCACTCCTGTGACCAAGTATGGACTCCTATGTAGTCTCCCTCTTGTGGTGCCAGTTTGTTGCTCTTGAGGTTGCTCGCGAGATCTCCTTATGCATGCTAGTCTTCGAATTAATCGGATGCGCGATTCTCTGTTGGCGTTGGTGGTGTAGTAGCATAGCATCTTCGTCTATGCGTTTTGTGCAGAGAGATGGATGTGGAGGAGGCTGAGAAGTGGTTGAGAGAGATGAGAAAAAAGATAAGAGGGGAGGATGAAGGAAGAAGATGAATCTGATGGGTGGTTTCCACGTGCAGATGCAGGAGAAGATGGAAAACATGATGTTGTTGGCATGGTTCCAATTTTGTAATATTTGAGTAGCAGAGCTACGTATAGACGAATTATAATGACATTTATCTGAATAGTCACATTTGCAATGGCACGAATCAAATTAACCCAATTTATAAGGCTAAGTTCTTTTGTTGAGGTTCCCAACACATCTTCATTGTATTCCACACACACGCTTGTCAAATTGCTAAACGATGTGTTTTTTTCAATTTTTTTCTACACGGAAGTTGCTTTAAAAAAAATCATATTATTCTATTTTTAAAAGATGTTAATTAGCTAATACTTAATTAATTATGTGCCAATGAGTCATTTTATTTTAAGTGCGCGAGAGATTAGTTCCCAACACGAAGTGCCGAACACAATCTAAGATATGAAGTGAAGAAAGATCTGTATAGAGAATATTGTCTTCCGTGGATTAACTAACGGTATAATAGACAGTTTAATACCATCCATATTCCATACATACTAATACCAATAATGTACTTGCCTATAGGATCAAATCGACAAGTATTCAAATACATATAAAATAGCCAAACATTTGACATGTTTTGTATGTCTTGTCTATATAATATCTAGATACGACGTGAAAGTAATATATAGACGGTAGCCATCTAAACTGCTATTCACGGTTTCAGATTTATGTGTTTAAATTTGTGCACTTCATAGTTCATCCGGGAATTTACCGAGCTTTGTAGGCTTGACCCTATGACTTATGACTATAATTTCAGCTAGGAACATGTCCACAGGCGGATACACATTCAGTTGTACTGTGTTGTGTGTGCTTTCGAGCACACATATTTTTTATTTTTTATGTTGTGTTGTGCTATAAAATGTCTCATCCATTCAAAATCTATTATATTTTGGGACTCTCATGCGTCTCAAATCCTTTATATTTTGACGGAGGGAGTTTGTCATTTTCCCTTAAAAAGCTTCGATCGTTTAACTTGCATCTATGTTTAAGTAGGCTCAAGGATAGAATCACTTACTTATTAGTAGTAACTAACAAACTAACCATGGTAATTTGCACAGTAAAACAACAACGGTCAAGACTAGGATCGCCGAGAAAGCTAACATGCAAGAGCGAGTAGTGCAGCCTTATATGAGTTCTGAAGATTAGGAAATTTGGACTCGACCAAGGGAATGAACATCCCCCCCCCCCCCCCCAACCACTTCCCCGGCCAAGCAAACGTCTCACTAAATGTTTTCGGAATTTTCCACCTTTGTATAATTTCAATCAAAATAAGTATGAAATTTCAAATAAAAAACTTTCAAAATTCACGAAATCTTGGTGGTTTCCAAAAGTGTGAACCCTGCTCATAACGTAAGGAAACGATTAAAGGAACTTTATATGGGGGAGCACTTCTTAATTTTGTCCGCACAAAAATGTTGCACGATTATTTAACTTCATCTTCTTACAGTGTCCTGTGGAGATGGAAATTGGAGAGGCAAAAGGAATACTAGAGTTAAAGTTTTGATATGCCTTCTTCTTATTGATCTAAAGGAAAAGAAATACGAGCATAATTTCTTCTTCAGCCCGATCGAGTCACAATTTTCAGCACCAATATTCTTCGCTACTTGCACTCTCTTGTTTGATTTCCACGTCACGAGGCATTTCCTCAGTGGATCTTTTTGAGGGTCTCCCAACAGGACGCTTGGCAGTGTTAAAGGATACCGATTTTTTGGTTTTGCATGTAGTCTTCTCAAGCTTGCCCTTGTTTTTTTTAACCTCGCTTGATGAATCTGATAAATCATCAGAGGAGTCACCATCTTCAGCTATGAAAAAGGAAAAAGATATATTGTCAGTCATCATCAAATTCAGGAGGAAAATGCAACATACCACAAATACATATGGATTATGGCAAACAATCCGTAGTACTCAGAATTTTTGTTTTTCTTAGGGAACCAGTCCTCACAAATATTTTAGGTCGATAACTGTTAGGCATGCATATTAAGGCTGAGGGGTTGTTTGGTTGCATGCCACAAGTTGCCACGTCTAAAGTTAGTCATGCCACAGTTTTTTAGCTATTGTTTGGTTCATGACACAACTGTGGCTAGCCACACATTTTCTCTATATGGCCCCACATGTCATACACTAGTATTTTTTTGCTAACTTTGGCTAAGTTGTGGCTAGCATTTTGCTAGCCACACATTTTGTGGCAGCCACACCTTGCCTAATATGGGGTTTGGCAAAGTTAGTAAGCGACCAAACATCCCCTGAGTTCGGATGGGGGAGATGGGAACCCAACTCCTGCGCACGGAAAACGGAGCAGTCCATTAACACGTGATTAATTAAGTATCAGCTAATTTTTTTTCAAAAATGGATTAATTTGATTTTTTTAAGCAACTTTCGCATAGAAACTTTTTGCAAAAAACACACCGTTTAGCAGTTTGAAAAGCGTGCGCGTGGAAAATGAGAGAGAGGGGATGGGAAAAGGTGCATGCTAACGCAGCCTAAGTAAAAAAGAAATCCATCTATTCATGTAGTTGCACTTAGTATATGCATGCTATCATCGACTAGGGCTTGTTTATCTTATTGTCAAAATTAACCTTATCTTTTTTTTTGGGGAAAATTAACCTTATCAAATTTTAACATTGCCAGATTTTTATAATGTTGGATGTATTTGGTTTGATGTCTTTTGGAATTCCGAATTATCCGGAACACTAAGTTTTTTTACCCTATCAAAATAAGTTAGTATTGTCAGCCAAGAACCCATGGCCTATTGGTTTTTTTGCCCTTGTCCTGTACAGCTTATTATATGGCCAATAGCATCAGAAGTATTTGAAAGTGCATAGCGACCAGATTTAGAAATAATATGACCTAAAATATATTTTTTTAGCAGCATTTGGCCACATGATAATTAATTTGATCTGCCCAACATGATCGTTCAATTGAAATTTGCAATGTAAAATCATTGTCTAGCACATACTGCCACCATGAGACATAACCTATTCAATTCTACTGTATAATTTACTCAAATTGACACCTTTCCTCTGTTAATTACCTACTTTGGATATTAATGCGTGCAGAATTCTCATATGTATCAGAGGATATAGATATGACAAATAAATAAAAAGCTGTATAAATTCAAAATACGTTGCACAGACGATTATTATTGATGTTACAAATATTAAATTTTAATGCTAAATATCTTTTCTATTTTCAGAATTGTAGCGGTTTAGATTACATCAGTTTCATCTTGCTAATTTTTTATTTAGAATTTTAGAATTATATTAATATAATACTAAATTAAAATTCCAAGGTGATTACATCGTTATGCTATTACAAAATTGTTTTATTTATTATGGACTATGAAATAAATATGGCAAGGTTATGATCCTCAAATTCAAAAGTTGCTTTATATAATTGATATCAGAATAAATGACTACATTTAAACATGAGCAACTCAGAAAGGATAAACTATTATTTACAAAACATAATATAAACAACAACAAATAGCTTATATGAACTTTCTCTGGGTTTATACATTGATGATTTAAGTCTGGATGATCCCATACGATGTCTTATATGAACTTTGATAGTAAAAACATGAAGCAATCAATGATAGAATCACCAGCGCATAGAAACCAATGAGCAGCATATAAGAAGAGTAACTTACACTTATATGAACTTTCCTCATCACTGAGTGACTTTTCTGTAAGCGATGAGTTTTTGGATTTCAATGATCTTCTGGATTTCCGGTTAGTCCTAGCTGCAAAGTCTAGTCTTTTCTTCAGACTTTCATGCTGTCATGGATAAAATCAACAAATTAGGGTATGAACCCTCTACATTAAACTTAGCTTTCTCACCAAATGTTGCATGTAATAAGTGCTATAGAGCAATTTATCCATGGAACATCCAATCAGATTAGATTAGTATTATTTTTCATTCATTTTTTTTAGACACAAAATTAATTGGAACTAGACCTTAGGTCCGTAATTCATGCGTTACCATAACAGAGGATGTTGAATTACAAAATCAGTACATGCCATTAGATTTTTAAATAAGTAAATTATAATATAGCATATATGTTTGAGCTTCAACAAATAAAGGCATATATATAAGCTATCACTAGTGCAAAATAACCGTGGAGTTACATATATAGCTTATTCATGGAGTGGCATTTTTACAGCTATAGGATGAAACCAGTATCATTTGAGCAATTAGAGAAAAAAAATGTGGTATATTGACAATTGGCCAAGACTGTAGTAGCATATACGAGCAATTAGCCTATTCACGCATTGAAGGGCCAAAGCCCAAGTTGAAGGTATAACATGCCCTTTCGTTGTGTTCATGCCCAGCGAATCAACAAAGGATTTAGTCTATTCAGTAATCCTCAATCTAGTTTACTTATGCACAAAATTTCCTAGTCGACTAATTTTTCTGAAGAAAGTAATAACACCGAAATAGATATTGCTGTTCACATACATCTATTTTTTTTTAAAAAAATGCAACTATAATTTTAGTTGTCTTTCTTAATGTCCTAAGTTAACTTCGTAAATGCTCAACTAAGCCCAATTTTATTATAATAGTAGATGTACCTCATATGCTACCATACAAAGCCCGTAAACTATGCATACTCCATTTTCTTTATATATCTTATAGAACATACATTAAAATTGTTGTTTCGTTTTGAAAAGGAACCTAAACTTGACGGATGAAAGATTTTGAGGAAGAGTTACCAGATCTGCGGACTTCTCAAAAGAGTAGAGGTCATGAACACTTGTCCTCTGAATAAATGCGCGTTTAGGTACTTTTCCAGTTTGAACATAGAGCATTGCAGATTTCCTTGTGCGGAATGAATAATTATTAACAGGATCCGTGAAATACTGCACATTCAGCAAGATAATTAAAAAACTGAAGTCCATTTGTAAGTGAAGAAAAATGATTAAGTTATACTCCACTACATATATATACCGGGTCTTTTCTAATTACTCCAGTCTTTGTCTTTCTAAATACTACTTCCTTCACCCATCCTTCTGGCAGTGAATGTGGATTAAATTCCACATTTGCAAGAATCTAAAAACAAGTTCAATCATTAGTTTCATTCAGAAAAATCTATATATTAATCATTAAATTCTACAAATTGGTAAAATAATTAATAGATAAGTGATTAGGGCAGATGTTGCAGCAAGAAGCACACGTTGTCTTTGGTTCTTGTGTCACATTCTCCATTTGTATCAAATCCAGTAATCTCGGACTTATTAATATATAGCAGTACATCCTCTTTAGAAAACAGTCGAACTCCAGCTGGTGGATAAACATAAAACTGCAAATTGGGCATAATTAAAGGTGATCAGAAAATTTTCACTAACACGAGAAAACTATTATATTGTAGAGGACCTTATATTGTACTCAAATGTAAGATGATGTGTTTATGATGGAAAATATATTTAAACCCTTGAAGATATACAACTAATTATTTCAACAATAGTTTTCTAAAAGCGTCATCATAGTTTCCAGTCAATAGAAGCATCAGCAATTATGTGTACAGGCCAATAATGCAAATGGACTGTTACATTTTGGCAATGGCTTTTCAGATTTGCCGTTATATTTTCTATACTAGTGAAACACCCATGTGTTGCAAGGGAATTAAAATTAATCACTTTGTTACTTTATAAAAAGTTAATTGAGAAAAATCATATTTTTATCAAAATTCAATGTAATGGATGTTGCTCCATATGCCTCATCGTTTGATGTAGAGTGGTAGATGATGGATTCACTAATTTGAATTTCAAGTATAAGTGGGTAGGTGATGGTGGCGAATTTACCACCACTACAGTTGAGGTCTTCTAGTATAGACATAATTTGTATTAACGAGGGTACATGTCCCCCTATTTTATAGTACATTCAAATGATCCACCATGTCAAGATTTTTTACTGTCACACCAAAGACAAGAATAATACACAGTTGGAGAGCTCATTTCTGACCTAATTAATACTACCTACTCCCTTTCTATCCCAAAAAAAAAATCTAATTCTAAGGAAGTATCTGAAAATATATACCTTATCCAAATACATCCTTAGGATTTGATTTTGTTTTTTCGATGGAGGAAGTGAAGATGGAAAATGATAGGTGGGCCTCTATGGGATTTTTTTTCCCAGCCCTGGCCAGATATAAAAAAGTAAGCGCTATGTAGTTCAAAACCAGTTGAGTTTATATCAAGGAATAAAAAACCGGTTTACAAAGAGCTGAGGCATGGTTTTGAAGTTATGGAGTGCTTTTAAAAGTTTACAGGCGTAAAATGATGTTTTTCCTTTATAATATGTCAAGCTTAGATCCTTGTTGAATTCCCTATCTCGCTTCTAGCTTATTGGATTGGCATCCTAGCACTGTCATGAAGAATAATCTAAGATCTGATGATGAATCACTGCATTTCAAACTACTAATGGGCATAGAACAATTAGAATACAACTATATTACAGGACAAAATAAAAGGTACCTTATACATCTTGTTCATGTTCTTTCCACCAGCTCTAACCTCGATTATCCAGCCTTTTGGAAGCCATTCATGTGTCATCTGCATATATGTCATGGTGGGACTCACATATACCGAATTATTCTATAGACAACCAAAATCATGAATAGCATATTCATATATATATATATATATATATATATATATAGAATCACTCACAATAAGCTGGTTATCTGCAGCACAGTTCTTTGATTCCAGGAATCGCTCATCCATCCCAGAGAAAAGGTACTGAAGCACCTCTGACTTCATGGTGAAAGTGAGTCCTGATATAGGAGATGTGTAGTACTGCACACAAAGATATTTTTGACTAAATATCACAAATCTCAGGGACGAAAATAAAGAATTTATATTTACAGACAAAACTTCCACACACACATATATATCATCCGTAAATCTCTTATGCATAGTTATATACTATGAACTTTCTAGTAACAAGATGCAGTAAACTCGCTTTTATCATACCCGGTAGATTGTGCCATCGTCACCTTGGTAGACCTCCATTATCCAACCATCTGGAAGCCATCCTGGGCGTTCCTCCTCCTCCTCCAAATCCTCTACATCTTGCTGAATCTCTTTCTTCTCGTCATCTGATATCACTATCGATGTTGATCCGGCCACGCCTAAACCCTTCCAAACGCTTGGACCGGCCATGCCTAATCCTCTCCAAACTCTTTCTCCTCCCTTCACCCCCTCTCTCCCTTTCTCTCCAACCCACAGAGTTGCTTGTATATAAGAACGGCAGGATGGGTTGGGCAACAGATTTAGGGTGCTTTATATATATGCAGCGTACAGAAAAATGGCTGCCGGCCGGCATTAAATTTGCACAGCTGCACGCCAGCACCTTGGAGGATGTCATGTTTACACCTAAATATATGGGGTAGTCCAGAAACAGAAACTGTTCTTTTAATTCGACACCTTGCAAAATTGTCCATATCAACCTACCATAAAGTGAGTAAAATTGCAGCAGTGCATATTAGTGATAAGTATAACACTTATCCTGACTTCGAGTTCTAGTCGGCATCTTCGGAATGGTTACTTACTCAGTTCTCCGTAATGGCATTTTCTGAACTGCTAAACAATGAATTCTATGCAAAAATTTTATATATTAATTAATTTTTAGAGACAGTTTCATAATAGAATCTCCTGCACTCAAAATTCATTGTTTAAAATAGACGTGAGAACTTATAATAAATTTTAGTTTTTAACCTATCTCAAATAAAAAAAATCAGCTAGATCTCTTCTGTGGGCAATAATTTTCATACAAGTCTGTTCTCATCCAATTCCATATAAAAAGTTTTATATGCAGAAGTTCCATAAAAATCAAATAAAACTATTTTTTAATTTTGTAATAATCAATACTCGATTAATCATAAACAAATAGCTTTGTCTCGTTCGCATGTCAAAAATATCCAATCCCAAATACTGGTTTTTCTTATGTGCGTTGCATCCTAGTTGCCACAATCATGCATATGAATTCACTTAGAGCTTAATGAAAACTCGTAAATTGAAATCTAACCGGAACTAGTGGCGGACACACGATTTCGACAATGGAGGTACGAAGTTACAGAGTACGGACTACGCAGATAATACAAAGGAAACTAGATCGACGATAAAAATGAACTCAAATCACTAATAAGCACTCAATCCAAGCAGCAGACATGCGTATATTAGGCAATGTATATCTTAATCCCAATACATAACATGTAGTGAATAATTTGTACTGAAAAATAAACAAAAGTATAATAGAAAACACAACTAACCATTGCTTCGTCGGAAGTGGCACCGGTGACAGATGTGGCGATGACAGAGGTGTTGGGCTAGGGTCATGGGAGGCGGCGAGTGGAGCTAGTGTGCCGACTGGAGGAGCTGAGTCGCCATCGTGCTGTGGATCTGGAGCGGCATGCAGGCGTGTCTTCTCCTGCCCCTGGCGACTTGTTCGACCACCGCCGCCGCTCATGGCATTGCTCCCGAGTCCCGACTCCTAAACCGGTAAGAGAACAAATAAGAGGGGAGGGGAATAGGGTTTAGCCGGAAAGGGAGATCGAGATATGCGCACATGGGCAAGTGGGCCGCCAATTAGGATGGTTGGATTGCTATTCTCCAAGGCCTATAAATGATTAATTTGGCCGATATAAATTCATATAGTTATTTATTTGCAAAATAATTTGGGAAACGACTATACCCCCATGTCCGCCCCTAGCGGGAACCCCCTCCCCTGCCCTATCCAATCAATTTTAAACCGTAGTTTTGCGGCACAAGATATTTTTGAGGGGCATTTGAAACATTGTAAAAATTCGAATGACTTATCTAGAAGCCAGCTAGAAAACGTTCCACTTTTATGGACAAAGCTAACCCAGTTTAAATCCATCCAAGTTTTCTTTTTTTATTCAATGCCCCCTTATCTGTGTTCACAATGCACAACACATTCCACAGCCTCTCTCACTGACCAGCTGGTCCAAATGTCCAGGGTGGCCTAGCTGGATGCTCAACACCCTTCTCCCACCCACTTGACATGTAGTATGAATTGTGAATGCAGTGCCTTGCATATTTTGCATGGAGTTATTTTATTCTATAAACATAATACACAAGTATATCTGTTTCCAACAAATCTGCACCTTAAATGCTAACCGGCAATGACAGCACGCAGCCAGATCCGCACGATCGGGTCAACCTATTGCGATCTTGTCCATGTGATTTTGGGCCTTTCCTTTTTTACAAATTGTTTGATGGGCTCTGAGCCTTTCCTTTTTTTGCATATTAATGTTTGATGGGCTTCGGACCTTTCCTTTTTTGCAAATTATTTGATAGGTTTATTGCCATCTGGTTTTCCTTTATTAGCAAATCTACCATATTCCTTTTCCATAGATTTGATCTGGCCTTTCATTTTTATTAGGCCTTTTTTCCAGCCTACATGTCCAATATTTCTAGAAATATAGATAAAAAAAATTCTATGATAAACTTTATACGTATAAATTTTGTATAGAAGACTAGTCCGGAAAAGAGTATTCTAGCCTAACACAAGAGGAAATGCCATCGACCAGGGCAGATAAAGCTTGAAGGTTATGTCGTTGAGCGAGGAATATTCTCCAAGAAGATACTGCGGGGACCAGTCCAACCACCCCTGCAAACTGGCGTCAGGTCCTTCGGAGGACCACACAAATGTACAACCATACCCATAAGATTTCTAGCTTTAGAGGGGTATTTTAGTAATTTCTTATCTACCCTTGGAGGTAGGATCGTACATGTACCTCTGAAGGCTATTAAGCCGTTCCCACGAGATTTGAAATATCAAAATACCATACGACACACAGGACTTTGCTCTTCGAGCTCATCTCACTTTTATGGTAGGTGAGGAAAATAGTACTTTCCCACCTATTCATGATTTGTCCGTGACCAAGATCAGGAGAGTTTGCATGAAGAATGACAGATGTGGTATTTTCAGAACAAAAAAGCTATCACCTGTGGTGTTAAGCGAAATAGGAAAATTTCCGTGGTATTTTTTGAATTTGGCTTCTGAACGGTGCTATGAACCAAATTTTTCTCAAGACAAGCCGCCCCTAGACTCATTAATTAATAAGATGGGAGAAATAATTTTACAAACTTTTATGCTGGCTGCACCAACCAACAGGGGGTTAATTTACACTGATCATCTCTCCTCTGTTACCTTGACATACTTGTTTGAATGGTGAAAGCAAAATGTCATAACACTTGTACGAACACTATTTTTACATACGGGTGATACGCGAATTGTACACGAGTTTAGCGAATCGCATGTGATTTAGGGTCTACAGAAATCAGCAATTACAAATGTGGATTTGCCTCTACCAGAGTTGGCATGTTTCGAAACATAACATTAGTGAATGACCATACTATAAAGAAAATATTTTCAGAAAATATTGAGCTGACCATATTAGAAAAATATTGTAAGTATCTTACAAACTTGAGAGAATCTATTTCATACCATTGAGTTTGTCACGGTTCTACAATTTACCATCGAGTTTATCCACTTCTATTATATGCCATCAAGTTTGTAATTTCTTTTACAATTAACCATTACCGTTAGTTAGTGTGCCGTTTGTGCTTTTGAAAAGACAAAATTGCCCATAACCCATGCGACATGCCCTTTGCTCGTTCTTCACCCGTGCAGCAAACTGTCTCCGGCTAGGCGGCCCTGGCGTTAGCACGCCACCAACTTCGTGCTCCTCGACGTCATGCTCGTTTCGTTCGCCGGCGAGACGTGGCGTTCCACGAAGCCAGAGACCCCACGTACACGAGCAGGGCGCAGGTGCAACATGCATGGCAGGCGGCAGGGTGACTGAAGAATGCCAATTCTTCATTTCTTCGTGGGCTAACGCATAACAGCAGTCCGGCCGGTACTCCGGTAGGCACTAGGCAGTAGCCACCCAAGCCCAGCCCCCAAGGCTGTGGGCATGCGTAGCAGCCAGCAAGCTAGCTGCTCTGCTTCTCAGTTCAGGGAATCAGGGTTAGTTAGCTAGTGAGGTGCTCCGCTCCACCTAAGTCTGTTTAACATGTTGTTGCTTTTGTTCTTTTATGTCAAAAAATTCGGTAGCAACATATTGTGGATTCATGCGACCAACAAGAAGCTTAGCAGTGGTGGTTAGCAGCAGCAACGAAATTGATTCATAACTGGTACTGTAGCAGCAGCAGCGCTACTATGGAGTACTTCCTCGTTCTCTCGAATCAAAAGAGGTGAACATTCAATAATCTGTTGTAGAAGAAATAGTATGAGAGCATTTGTGTCATTTTTGAAAATACTAACTTGACAAACTGACAGTGATGGTAAATCATAGAAGAAAGTTGAAACATGATGGCATATAGTAGAAGTGGACAAACTCGGTGGTAAAATATAGAACCATAACAAACTGCAATGGTATGAAATAGATTATACTTTGATTGACCTCAATCGGAGTGAAAACGAATTTTCAGATTTTGAGGATTTTCAAATAATAATAATAACATTCCACTTGAAGACTTTTAAAGTTTAATATATTAATTAATTTTTAGAGACAGTTTCTTAATAGAATCTCATGCACTCAACATTCGTTGTTTAAAATAGATGTGAGAACTTATAAGAAATTTTTAGTTCTTAACCTATCCCAAATAAAAAAATCAGCTAGATCTCTTATGTGGGCAATAATTTTCATACAAGTCTGTTCTCATCCAATTCCATATAAAAGTTTTATATGTAGAAGTTCCTTAAAAATCAAATAAATCTATTTTTTAAGTTTGTAAAAATTAAAACTCGATTAATCATACACAAATAGCTCATCTCGTTTCGCATGTCAAAAAAATCCAATCCCAAGTACTGGTTTTTCTTATGTGCATTGCATCCTAGTTGCCACAATCATGCATTTGAATTCACTTAGAGCTTAATGGAAACTCATAAATTGAAATCTAACAGGAACTAGTGGCGGACACACGATTTTGACAATGGGGGTACGAAGTTACAGAGTACGGACTACGTAGATAATACAAAGGAAACTAGATCGACAATAAAAATGAACTCAAATCACTAATAAGCACTCAATCCAAGCAGCAGACATGCATATATTTGGCAATGTATATCTTAATCCCAATACGCAACATGTAGTGAATAATTTGTAGTGAACAATAAACAAATGTATAATAGAAAACACAACTAACCATTGCTTCGTTGGAAGTGGCACCGGCGATAGATGTGGCGACGACAGGGATGTTGGGCTAGGGTCAT